CTGGGGGTGCTGCTGGATTAGGTGCTGCTGGGGGTACAGGAGCCGGTGCTGCTCCGTCTTCTGGTGGTCCTCCTGGCGCTGGAGCTGTTGGAGGTTCTGGAGCTGGAGGTGCTGCTGGAGCTGGAGCTGGAGGTTCTGGAGCTGGAGGTGCTACTGGAGCCGGTGCTCCTGGAGCTGCTGGAGTTGGCGGTGCTGGTGCTACAGGAGGTGCTACTGGAGCTGGTGGTGCTGCTAGAGTCGGAGCTGACGCTGGGGGTGCTGGTGCTGTCCCTGCTGGTTCTGGAGGTGCTGCGCGGCCTCGGCCGTACTTCGTTCCCCTCCTTGAGCAGGTTCTTGGCCTTCCGCCTTCTTCTGGTCCTTCTCCTGCCTTAGAGTGTCCACCGTCCGTCTCGTCCGAGTCACAGTTACAGCTGGCCTGTCCACTGCCTGCCCCTTCTCCCTACGCTGGTCCTACTGGAGGTCTTGCTGAGCGTCGTGAGCCGGAGTCTCGTCCTGCGTCGCCTGTTCGTGCTGTTCGCACCGGTCGCCGTGTTCCGCGTCAGCGTCCTCCTGCGGTCCCAGGCACACACCAGATGGCACTGCGTCCTTCCACTGCTCCACAGCGTGTCCCTTTGCCGTCTCCTCCTGCGTCCTCTCTTCCTGCTCTTGCTGACCCGGAGTCTGACTCTCTTCGTGCTGCCAGTCCTACTGTCATGCGTCTCCTGGCTACTGTTGTCACTGACCCTTCTTTTGAGTCCACTTCTGCGTCTGCCTTAGTTGCTGAGCTTGTCGACTTCGCTGCTCACTGTCGTCTAGACTACGCCGCTAGTCTTGTTGCTGAGTCTGAGTCTGTCTGTCCTCCATCCGTCGGGGGTGAGTGTGCTCTTGGCACGGACGTCCTTGAGGACAGGCAGGAGGAGTTCCACTGTTTTGCTGCTGCTTTACCCCATCTCGTGGCCATGCTGCTTGCCCCTGAGGGAGACCCGGATGCACCAGACATCCCGACCCCGCGCTCTTACGCAGAGGCGATAGAGGGTCCCTACTCCTCTCAGTGGCAGACAGCCATGGACGCAGAGGTGGCTTCCTGGAAGTCCACAAGCACCTACGTTGACGAGGTTCCCCCCCCTGGGGCGAACATCGTCAATGGCATGTGGATTTTCAGGGTAAAGCGGCCGCCGGGTTCTCCGCCTGTCTTCAAGGTGCGCTACGTGGCTAGGGGCTTCAGTCAGCGGCAGGGAGTTGACTACTTTCAGACCTTCTCTCCCACCCCGAAGATGACTACTCTTCGGGTGCTGCTGCACATAGCCGCTCAGCGCGACTACGAGCTTCACTCTCTTGACTTCAGCACTGCTTTCCTACAGGGCAGCCTGCACGAGGAGATCTGGCTGCGCCGCCCACCTGGCTTCACTGGGTCTTTTCCTCCTGGCACCCAGTGGAGCCTCCGGCGGCCAGTTTACGGTCTCCGCCAGGCGCCCCGTGAGTGGCACGACACACTGAGGACTACACTTGCGGCTCTTGGGTTTGCTCATTCTACTGCCGACCCGTCGCTGTTTCTGCGCACCGACACCTCCTTGCCGCCGTTCTACATCCTCGTGTACGTCGACGACTTGGTCTTTGCCACTGCTGACACTGCTGGACTCGCCCACGTGAAGTCTGAGCTGCAGAAGAGACACACGTGCATTGACCTGGGTGAGTTGCGCAGCTATCTTGGCTTGCAGATCACCCGGGACAGAGCACGCCGCACCATTACCTTGACTCAGTCACACATGGTGCAGCAGGTCCTTCAGCGATTCAACTTCACGTACTCCTCGCCTCAGGCCACTCCTCTGCCTACTCGCCACTCGCTCTCAGCTCTGCCTTCGGATGAGTCCGTAGAGCCGAGTGGCCCGTATCCAGAGCTTGTTGGCTGCCTCATGTACCTGATGACCTGCACTCGACCTGACCTGGCATACCCTCTTAGCATCCTTGCACGCTATGTTGCTCCTGGGAGACACAGACCAGAGCACATGGATGCAGCTAAGAGGGTGTTGCGCTACTTGTGCAGTACGTTAGGCATGGGGCTAGTGCTTGGAGGGCGGAGTTCAGTGGTCCTCACTGGTCACGCAGACGCTTCTTGGGTTGACGACTTGGCTACGCAGCGGTTGTCACAGGGTTACACCTTCAGCCTTGGTTCCGGCTCTGTTTCGTGGCGGTCTACCCGCTCGTCTTCTGTTCTCGGCTCCAGTTGTGAGGCTGAGATCTACGCAGGGGCCATGGCTGCACAGGAGTTACGCTGGCTCACCTACCTGCTGACCGACCTTGGAGGGCCGCCTCGTTCTCCTCCAGTTCTGTACGTGGACAACAAGGCCATGCTGGCCTTGTGTCAGGAGCACAGACTGGAGCACAGAACGAAGCACATTGCTCTCCGTTACTTTCTTGCTCGTGAGCTGCAACAGCGTGGTCAGCTGCGCCTTGCTTACGTGGCCTCTAGGGCCAACACTGCTGATATCTTTACCAAGGCACTTCAGCCTTGTGATCATCAGCGTTTTTGTACTATGCTAAGTCTTGTGCCTACTTGGCCTCACTTGCTTACCTCTTGACTTTGCTTGTACTATGATCTATATATACCTGCCCTGCTTGCTTACCCTTGCTAGGTTGTGATCACTGTCTTGTTTTGTTCACCCTGCTTTATAACCCTGCATGTGAACTGGCCTTGTGGCCTTTGACTTTGTGCTCGGACTGTGTGGTGACGTTGTGATCCACCCTGAGCTTGCTTTGCTTTGCTTTGCTTGACTGGTCTTGTGACCCCTTGTTCTCCCCCACTTTGCCTATGGGGGTGTGTCAAACTCATATGCTATAGTCTATCTAGGCTGTAGTGGGGTAGACACTATAGGGTACAACACTTCTAGGTTTCCTACTTGTACCCCCCTTGTTCCCTAGTCAATCCATTCCTTGTTCTTATTCTCACAGACACCTCTCACCGCAAAACTTGTCAGAATATAAGAACAGCGGAATGAATTGCATTGATGGAAGTTTGGTACATATGCCTAACCTTAAAAAGGTCATACCCCTTAGAGGGTGCCCCACTACAGCCTAAAAGCATATATTATGTTTTGACAAAACTGATGCTACACGCCGACTGGCGTGTAAACAACGCTTTTCATGTCAATAATGTAAACGGCGTTTTCCACGCATCTCTGGTTTACAACCCATAACATCAAGAACATTGAAGATAAGCGTCGTTTACACGCCATAACATTAAGAACATCGAACTTGAATAGTAGTACCATTCTAGACTCTGACTCACGTGACAAAGCTGCCAATTGTTGCATCCAACTGAGGTGATCCGCACACCTGCGCGTAAAAGTGAGGGCTGCGTTCTGCAGGCGCATCAGCTCTGATGCGCCTGAGGCTCGGCCTGATGCGCACATTGGGCAATTGAGGTTCGGAAATCGCGAATTGGAAATTGTAAAATGGAGGTTCGGACTTTAAAATTGAGGTTTGGAAAATCTGACGAAATTGAATTGATGTCAGGAAATTGGACATTCAATTTCCTGACGAATTTTAAAATTGCCAATGTTATAGGTTTCTCGGAAGCTTCTTGGTCGCTGAATTTCGGTTTGGCCAAACTGATTGGCCGACGAGGTTGCAGCACATCAGATGATGCGCGCATGATGCGAATTTTAGAAGTCGCATGATGCGCGCATCAGTGATGCGCCGATTGCTAGGAGAGGAAGCTTCTAGGGGTGCGGTCACATTACAAATTCCGTAAGCCAAAAAGGCCGTTCTGCAGGCATTCGGGTTTGTTTTGCTTCGGCAGCCATGCGCTTATCGCGAACCTTGATAACCTGTCGGCAGGTTATCATGGAAAAATCCTGGAACCATGGTAGAAAACATCAATGTATATTGGCTGTGTTCTGCAGGCACGACAGAGGGCGGGGAGGCGGTAAATAGGAACCTTCCCCCAACTGCGTTTTTTTTATCAAACGCCCGGTCAGCCCGGAAAATGGATCCGAGCCTCCCATTTACCCTCCGAACGTAAACGAAGGTAAATGGCAACAGAACAGCCATTTACCCTCGTGGATATGAGGGCGTAGGAAGCTGCCTATTTCCCCACCCCAGCTTCCTTCTCTGGCAAAATTTGCCTCCTTCTCCCCCCCTTTCGAAAACTGCTCTTGCCCGGGATGTGAGACGGAGGGGGGAGGGAGGCGCTGGGTTAGGGAACACCACGGTTGAACCCTAGAAAGCAAACAGCCCCTCCCTTAAGTAGCCCAAACAGGGACGCGTCAACCTAGGTTAAAAAAGCATAAGCCACCAACCGAGGTTTGTGTGTTGCTGGAGGGAGTGCTTGGGTGCCATTTTTTCTACATGGTAGCCCCTTGCTAAAATTCAACCCTTTTTCTGATTTCGCGCTGTTCTCTGTACCCCACCTCTGTGCGTTGGAAATTGTGGCTGTTTTTTCGGCATTTACCTTCAGCAGCTTCGCACCCTAAACCCGAAATTTCCAACTTTAGGTTGTAGCGGGGGGGGGGGGGGATTCGAAGGGGAAACTGCCTCGGAACCATTGTCATTTCCCTTCGCCCCCCCACCTCCCTCCCAAGGGAGATGCCTGCAGAACGCAGCCATTGATGCGGGCTGATGCGCCTGCAGAACGCAGCTGAGATGCTGGTTTAAGGGCGCATTCATGGCCTCGGGTCTTCCGATGGTTTGGGTCTTCCGAAATTGTGGGATCCAATCGCGTTTCGAAACTCGAATTTTCCGATTGGATCCCACAATTTCGGAAGACCCGCACACCTGCGCGTATAGGCGCCGGGCGCCACATCCACAACCTGCGTACGTTTTCTTCCCCTCGCCCTTCTCAGGGTTTCAGAGAGTCTCCGCCGGCCTCCTTCCCCTCGACCTTTGCTCGTCCTCCCTCAGCCTTCGGATCGGTGATTCTTTCAGTGGCAGTAGTGGTTTCGTGTGTCTGTTGGCAGTAAGTACTACTAATTCGGAGCAGTAACCTCAGTAGCACCGACGCAGTCGCGTTTACGAGTTTTCAAATGTCTGCCACGCATAGAACTCGTTCCTCTGCCATGCGCCGCGTTGCGCCTCCATGGCCGCTGCGCGCCGATGCAGCAGCGCGACTTCTCCTTTGCGCGGCCCTCGCGCTCACTGCCACCGCCGATTGCTCCGTCTCTTCCGCCAACCACCCACTGCTACGGCCACAAGCCCCGCGTCGCCCAAATCAGCGCGTGCCATCTCCCCTTGCGCGGCCCATCCGCGCCCAGGGCTCGCTCTTCAAGCTCGACGCCGCCGCCGCGGCCGCCGATTTCGAGGTGACCGGCGACAGCGATGCCGCAAAGCCCGTGTCTCTGGAGGCGTCGCAACGTGAGCTTTCTGCTCTCGCGCTCGACCCTCCCATCGAGCTCCGCCCTCCCCCATAACCCTCATTGAACGAATCACTAACGCCTGCGGGCTCACACAGCGACCGTTAAAGGGGTCCGCTGCGCCTCTGAATAGCCACCAGTCGACCCGTTTATGCTGCCTAGGGTTCGAATCCCGACTGATCTCATTTTTCGCCCGACGAAAATGCGACCTGTCTGGGCATCGAGCCGCCTGGGGCCCAGCTTCGCTGTGCAGCCAAGAGAAATCGAGGTTCTGTGGGGGCCGACTCCCTGAAGTTACTGAAGGCACGGGGGGGAAACGGGTGTAAAGCCTGCGGCGGGCATCCGCTGCGCCTCTGACCCCCGTTTTGACCCAGTGGTCTAGCTGGGTGTTATGCCGTAGCACTAGAATCTCGGTGCTGCACGGGAGGTCCACGCTGGTACGCCGCACGCGCTGAGACGCTCATCTGATTCACCCCCTTCCTTTTCCTTGTTCGGCTGCTCGCTGCACGTGTGCAGTGAGCGCGGTGGTGCAGGTGCAGCAGGCGTGGGGCGCGTGGGCGGGCAACAGCAACGACACCACTGCTTGCTCTGCGTGGCCTGGCGTGACGTGCAGCCCTAACGGACTAATCGTCGCATTGTGAGTGCCCTCCATTGCCCCACATGACCACCCCCACTGTTCACCACTTTACGACCACTTTATCGCGTTCAACCCTTCCACTCATCGCTGTGCATCACCTGCTTTTGTTCTGAATGCGCTGGACTCGTGTGAGCGGTGCCTGCTTGGTGGGGCCGAAAATTGGGATGAGGCGGTTGAGTGGGATGGGGTGAGGGGCATGAAAGAGGAGGGGTAGGGGAAAAGTGGGGAGGCGGGGCAGTGGGAGGGGATGGGTGGGGGAGTGGTGTGGACGGATGGGAGCATGGCGTGGTTGTGTGCGTGTGGTGGGTGGCACTGGCAGGGATTCAAAGGCCGTGGCAGTGGATGGCAGTGCTGCCATACCTGACTCCATCACCAATCTCGCCGCCCTCCAATACCTGTCCGTCCCCGCCCACCCTCAACGCCCGCCACTCCATGCACTGCAATGCATGCACCACGGCACCACGCATTCGCCATGCTCCACCTTCCGCTGCACAGTCTCTCCTGTTCGTGCCCTCGACGGCCGTGCTTGCTAGAGTTTCCCCCATCTCGCCCCCCCACTCGCTTGATAAGCCACACCCGACTACCCCTGCTCACTGCCCTTGCACGCTTCAACTCTGCATCAGTTGGTGCAGCAGCTGTGATGTGATTAGCACCGAGGCATCGCTCTGCACGCCTCATTCTGCCTCCCCTCTGCCTTCACTTCACTCTTGCGTCCTACGTGCCCATGCCCACAGCGATCTGACAAACGTTCAGCTGGTGGGGCCCATCCCATCCCTCGCCACTCTCACCAGCCTCACCCTCCTGTATGTGCCCCGCCTCTGCCATGGCCCATGCACTGCATTGCGCTCCTTCTCTCCTCTGCAGCCAAGGATTTTTATGGCTCTTGCTTGCTCCTTTCTCAAGGAGTTGATGTTTCGTTCCACCACTCCTCTGCATGTGTGGCATGGATGACTGCATGTGCGGCATGGCTGACGGCATGAGTGGCATGGCTGGCTGCATGTGCGGCATGGCTGACGGCATGAGTGGCATGGCTGACTGCATGTTGGTCATGATCTCAGAGCCATAGGAGCAGACGAAAGCCAGCTGAGTGGCACTCTTGAGGGACTGGCGTGGATCTCATCCCTCTCCAACCTACACATGCTGTACGCCTCGCATTCTGCCACGCCCTGCTTACACTTCACTTCACACGCCCTCATAACATTGCCACTCGTTATTCAGTTGGCACTCCCATTTTGTCTCCGAGCCACGCAGCCCTCATTGCCGCGCGCCCCATCACTCCAGCAACTCGTGCACAAGCCCTGTGTCGTGTCCCACCCTCCGCCCGCCCCATGGCTTCTCACACTTCCCACAACCCTCCCATCACCACTCACCAGGAGTCTAGTTGGCTTGTCGGAATTCGTAGGGGACTTGTCCTCTCTGCACGTTCTCTCTCACCTGGAAAAGCTTCAAAGCCTGTAAGCTCGATTCCAGTGCGTCGGGAGGGGGTGCTGCCGCAATGCTTCAACTGGTGTAGTTCATGACAGTCACTGTGTGACCTCTCTTTTGGGCCGCCTCTCACTGTGCACTAATAGTGTTGTCTCCGTTCCGTGCGTGTGCATGTGCATGTGCGCTGCGCAGGACACTCAGCGCGCTCTCTAATGCCACGGGGGAGATACCCAGGGAGATCCGATACCTCACGGCCCTCACTGCACTGTGAGTTGCACACGGGTCCAAGAGTGGATCAGATGAAGCACGCTTCGTCACGTGCACCATCAGATTTTCACTCACTGCTCCTGTGGCATCAGGCCAGCCCTCTGCTATGCCCGTATCCTTCTGCCGTCCCCTTGCATTCTCCCCTGCAGTGATTTGTCGTTCCTTCGGGCCTTGGAATTTCCTGACTGGGTGACTCACCTCGCCACCCTTCAGTATCTGTGAGCTCCTCCTACCGCACACCAATCTCTGCCATCGCTCACACACCTACCGCCCTTGCTGCTGCACACACCGCACACCAGAAACATTCACACCACGGTCGTGGTCTTTGCCTTGTCTAGTTCCGGAAAATCTTGCGGACCTGCCCTTGTCCCCCTGACTTTTGAAAGTAATCTCCCTGCCCTTGTCCCCCTGCCCTTGTTTCCTGCCCTTGCCCCCCTGCCCTCGTCCTCCTGCCCTTGCCCCCCTGTCCTTGCCCCCCTGCCCTTGTCGCCTTGCCCTTCTCCCCTTGCCCTTCTCCCCCTGCCCTTCTCCCCTGCCCTTCTCCCCCTGCCCTTGCATGCAGCAACGTGAACGCGGACGAGCCGCGGCGGCAGGGGTTGTTGTCAGATGACATCTCACACCTCACAGCGCTCACCTCCCTGTGAGTGCAGCGCGCCAAGCCAAGTTCACAACCTTCAGTCACAAGACATGAGCCAAAGGGCCAAGCAGTTCGTGTATGCGTGTGGGAATAGCTATGCCCGTTGCTGCAGCTGCTCCAGTCGGAGAGGGCACCAGGCGGGCAGGTGGGTGTGCTGCGCTGGACATCACGTTCCTGCCACTCCTGCACAAGTCCCTCCCCCTTGTGTTGTCCTCGTGCCCTGCATCTCATGCCTGGTGGCATGCATATCAGATCCCTCTTTGGCAACAACCTGGAGGGCTACGTGCCTAAGACCTGCTCCTCTCTCCTCAACCTGCAATACCTGTGAGCCACTGCCTGCTGTGCCATGCTCCGTGCCCTCATGCTGTCATCCTTCCGTGGTGCTGTTACCAATCCGTTAAGCTGCCACCCGGTGAATGCCTATCTTGTCAATGCCAACACTTACATGCATTTGTAATTTGGAGCTCCACCTTCTTCTTGTTTCAGCGCTTTGAGTTTCAACCATCTCCAAGGCACCATCCCCGCCACCCTCTCTGCCCTATCAGCCCTCACTGCAATGTAAGTTCCCAGCATGCACGTCGCTTCGCCCCCCCCCGACCCCCGCTCTCTCAACATCTGGTTGCGCAACCTTGTCTCGCCCCCCTCGTCATGCACTACACTACACCCACCGCTCTTTCTGCCCCCCTCCCACTGCAGAGATCTCTCATGGAATCATCTGTCTGGTTCCATCCCCCACGCCTTCACCACCAACATCCAAAGCATGTACGTCTCGCGCCTCTCTACCTCAAGCTCCACCCCCCAAACCCACAATCTCCGGTATCCTCCTTTTCCTCTGTAAATCCCCATGCTCCCCTCCCCTCTCTCTCTGAGTCTCTCCTTGGTATTGGGTAAAAATATTGGTACATCTCAAACTAGCAGGACGTTCTAACAACAACTACAACGTATCAAGCCAACCGGATGAGTGTAGTGTATGCCCTTTCTACGGCAGTTGGGCCACCAGCTCTAGCACCGAGAATCAATCCCCCGGGCTCAATGCCTCGTTTGGTCCACCGGCTGGCGGGTTTTCGACCTGTGCCGCAAAGTTGGATTCAAAGAGGTAACTGATCGCTCGTCCGCGCCGGAGCGCCACAGACCGGCGCACAGGTGTAGGAGTCTCTCGGCCGTGTCGCTGCCGAGAGACTCGCTGTCGTGTCTGCCAGTAACTGCAGAGACGAAGCGCGAGTCGGAATCTGTGGTGAAGTGGGCGGGGCAGAGGCGCAGCGATGGAAAGAGTGGGGGGCTGCCAGCAGGCATTTCCCCAACTCCTAGCCCGTAGAGAGATCAGCCGCTGTGTGTGCCCCGCGTTGGGATTGATGGCCATGCCTCATGAGGCCGCTCTGTGTGCGGTGGCCTTGCACACTCAGTGTCAAGGAGTGTTGCAGTTTGTGGCCTGATGGTGTCTGCCCCAGCAAATCGAGCAGCTCCCTTGCGGCTTCCGGGAGTGAGCTCTTGCTCTTGCTAAGCCAGTCATGCAGGACTGCTCCATTGCCGTTAATGTCGCCTCTAGAGGGCGCTTTGCGTCATTTTTCAGGCCGTTGAGCCGTCTTTGCGAGTGAACGAAACTGGCCCTCCACCGACAGGTTTGTTAAGCAAATGCACCCCAGGGACGGGGTAGTGAGGCTTGCGCCCAAACTCGTTTGTGCTCCTCTTCCCCCCCCGGATGACGAATCCCGCAGGCATTGAGGAGAGTGTTCAGCTCCCCATTCGAACCAATCCTCATTCGGGAGCAGCGTGAGTGGCGTGGTTCTGAGGAGGTAGGAGATGCGCCTGGAGATGGAGCGGGTGAGGAGGAGGCACACCACCTGAGGGTCCATGCACACTAGGAGAGACAGCCGGCCAGACATGGACGCTAGATGGGAGCGGAGGAACTCAGCAGCGCCGTCTGTGGGGCCGATGTGGCTGCCCAAAACCCGTAATCCGTGCAGGACGGCACACCTTTGCGCAGAAAGTTTGTGTATATTGGGTTTCTGCACCATGAAGCACATTTAGCGAGTCCTAGCCCATTAAGGCCTTAGGTGAAATGGTTGAGGGCGGCCCCGCAGACTGACGAATGTGACGTCTTCGGTGTATGCAAGGCAAAGGACCGTCGGGAAAACCTCAGCCGTGGATTGCAGCACCGGATGCATACCCGCGGCGAAGTGTAAGGGACCAAGTGGGTCCCCTTGCCAGACCCCTCTCTCGCTGTGCAATGGTGCGCTGTTGAAACTTGCGTCTAGATGGAGGAGGGAGTGTCTCCCGTAGGAGAGATGTACGAGCGGAAGGAGGTTACGGAGTGGGGAGTCTTTGATTGCTTTAACGGTGGGGTGCATGAAAGCGTTTGCTAAATCTGCCTGAAGGATGAGGGCGGTGGGGTGCGCACCTATGTAGCTCCGAAAGGCGTGGGTGATCGCCTCCCCGCTTCCGGGCATGGCTACTCCAAACCGCCACGGTCCCCCATCACTGTGAGCGCCAATTAGGCGCATTAGGCATTCTCCAATGGCGATTGGTCGGGAGCCTCCTCCTGGATTTGAAAGAGCGAGCACACGCGAGGATGTGAGGAGAGAAGCCACATTGGGGGAGGGGAGAGGGGTGGAAGGGGGGGAGGGAGGGGGGGAGGGCATGGAGATGATTGCAGACCGCAGAGTTAGCGAGTGCACCTAGGTCCGCCCCTTCCCCGTTCTCATATCTGTTTAAACGTTTCGTGAAGGCAGCGGCGGTAATGGATGGGGGTGGGATGGACGAGAGGTCCATCCAAGTCAAGGGTGTGTGCTGTGCTGGTGGATGTTTCTCTTCTCTCTTAGCGCATCAAGTACTTCTGTCGTTGGTTCGGCGACAGGTGATGACTTGAGGGCCATGATGGCTCGGCGCAGGCTGCCCTTTCTCGGCGGTGGCGGCAGGTCGATCGCCTTGATTACGGTTTGGTACACACTAGGAAGGCTTGGAGACGCTTATTTACTATTTCCCAGTCTGGTCGCCAAGTGTCAGGCACAGGATGTAGAGTAATAGGCTCCAACCGGTGACTGACTCAGCGTTAGTGGCAAGGTGTAGGTGTCCGGCTCTTGCTGCTCGCGACCCACCTGCTCCCTCAGCCGTTGTGGTTGATTAATCCCAAGGCCCCTCTTGATTAATCACATTCTGGCGAGCGACCGTCGTCTCCCAACCATCAATCTCCTGCTCGGTTTCCTGCTCGCTCCGCACTTGGTCGAGCACATTCTCCTGTGCCGCGTTCGGGGAGGCGGCGGTCGTCTCCTGGCCGTCGGTCCCTCGCTCGCTGCTCGCGTGTTACTCTGGGCTGCCCTCCCGTCCTGCTTGTCGGCCCTTTGCGACCTGGATTGGGCGTATACCCCGAGCCCTGCCGTGTGGTGCCAGATCTGGCTTCTATCCAAGGGGACACAAGTCTTGTGCAATCCTCGAGCTGGCGCATGCTGCAATCCGCCGCGAACCCGCAGCCTGCGGTTTTGATCATCGTCCTCATCAGCAGTGCATGGCGCATGCTGCCTGCCGCCTTGCATCCTGTGTTCAGCATGTGTGGTTTTGCCCTGCCAGGGAGGTCACGCTGCCGGCCAGGAGATTGGTGAAAGTGGTGCGGGAGATGACAGCCATAGACGTAGTCGACGTTGCCGCGTTAATGCTCCACCATATGTGGATAGCCACGAGTGGTCTGTTGGGCACATTGGGGGCTGACTTGTTGTTTTAGCTCGACCCTGCCTTGTGTAGACCCGCTCCTTCCCCAGGTCGTGTGGCTGCATTGTCCCATGTCTCTGATGCTGTGAACGAGTATATATAGTTCTTCTTCCGATTGCCAATCCCGAGCGCACGGCCAAAGGCGCCAGCCGCCAAAAACCTCACATAAGAACCGAATAATGTGAGCAGCAGGGCACTAGGTGCCCTTATATAGGTGTGCAAAATGGTAAGAGGCAAGGGCAGAAGGCTATCGCTATGGTTTCCTCTCTCTCTCGAACGGTCTTTTTAAAGAACAGACCAATTCACAGCACAGCATTCCTAGAAAGGTGAGAACATACAAACGGAAATACTCAAAACCTGACGACCACTATTGGAGCTCCACAAACGGCCCCAGTACCATAAAGCAATCCCCAGATGTGGGAGTGGACGAGTACCACCTCCCCATCCTTCTCCAACTTGTGATGTCACAGACTCAAACAGCTCCCGTGATGAGGTATCGGCTTGCAAGGTCCGCCCTGAGGTCGTCGACGGGGCAAAGCATCCGACGTGAACAATAAACCTGCGTCCTGAGCTGTCTGGATGCTCTCGTCATGTAGGCCGTTCTGGGATTGGTACGGCCGCTTCCGGTGCCACACCTGAGCAGGTGGTTAGGTAGCCGTGTGTCCAAGATAAGCGGCGTGTGGTTCCTCCTCCCCTTTTATGTTCCTGCCCTTCCTCCAATCATTGCACCTCCCGTTCTCTGCGCACCTTGTTTGGAACACCTCCCCTTCCTATCCAGAGCACTTGGCTACAACGCCTTTAGTGGCCCCATCCCGCCGCACCTTGCACTGCCCCAAATCACTGCCCTGTAAGCCCCGCCCCCCTCTGCCCTGCTTCCTTGCACTCATAATTTGCATCCCATGCACTTGGCCCCGTGCTCTCTACCTTCAATCAATTCTCGGCCTGGTTCCATCCGCCCATCTGTGTGCCCCTTACCTCGCCGTGTGCCTGCAGGCAGCTGTCCAGCAATGGGTTCACGGGCGGCATTCCCAGCACCTTCACCCGCCTCACCGCCATGAGTGTGCTGTACGCCTCACCGCCATGAGTGTGCTGTACGCCTCACCGCCATGAATGTGCTGTACGCCTCACCGCCATGAATGTGCTGTACGCCTCACCGCCATGAATGTGCTGTACGCCTCACCGCCATGAATGTGCTGTACGCCTCACCGCCATGAATGTGCTGTACGCCTCACCGCCATGAATGTGCTGTACGCCTCACCGCCATGGGCATTGATTGCTCGTTGTTGTTCCTTTGCCAATAATGGTGCTTGCCAAGCTCTAGTTTTGCTCCTCGCCTGCATCCCACATGCCTGCATCTGTGCTGCATCCCCCGTGCCTGCATCCCCCGTGCCTGCATCGCCCGTGCCTGCATCCCCCGTGCCTGCATCCCCCATGCCTGCATCCCTCGTGCCTCCATCCCCCATGCCTGCATCGCCCGTGCCTGCATCCCCCGTGCCTGCATCCCCCGTGCCTGCATCCCCCATGCCTGCATCCCTCGTGCCTGCATCCCCCGTGCCTGCATCCCAGGGACGCGGCCAACAACAGTCTGAGCGGGGGCCTGGACGTGGTGGCTCAGATGACATGGCTCACTGACATGTCAGCGCCTACCCTCCTCCCCGCCTCACCTGCCTCATCGTTGCGCCCTCCTTGCTGGGCCTCTCTTTCCCTCCATGCGGGTTGAGCAAGAGGCGAACATGTTTGTGCTCGCCCTTGGTCGAACATGTCACCTGGGCGAACCAAACATGTTCGGTTCGCTGCAAACACATTCTGAAAAAACGGTTGTTCGCCTTTGGGGGCGAACACAAAGGGTGTTCGCCCCGAGCACGAACATGTTCGTGCTCGCATTCTCAGCAGCGTCGTTGTTATCACATCAACCAGTTTAGTGGATTTCAGTGTTCCTGGTGGCGGTGTTAGCTCTGGTGGGCGTCTGGGATTGTATGAAAGTAGTAGCAAACAATAAATGTTAATGACGCCAAACCTAAACTGGTGTAGGATAGAAGAAAAAGGTCCCAAGTAATTAGAGTTTGAAGAAAGCTTAGGGCTGGCGCTTAGAGTCCAGGCTGTGGTAGGTGTCTTAGCCTGAAATTGAACTCTGAAATGAGGTCGACAAAGTGAAACCGTCGACCTAAAAAGGGGTCGCAGGATAAATTTGTGTTCCTCCTAACACTTCGAGGCGAACCGAACACATGTTCGCCTGGATGCCCAAGCCTACTGGCCTCCCCTTCCCTCCCTCCCCTCGCCTGCTCCCTGCAAGTGGCAATACCTAAGCCTCTCTCAATGCATGCCCTGCAGAAGCCTCCACACCAACAACTTCTCCGGGGTGCTTCCAGCAGCCCTCTCTGGCATCAAGGGGCTTGTCTTCATGTCAGTCTGCTCCATCCCTCACTCACTCCCTCACTCCCTCACCTCTTCCATGCAGAAAAAACTTGTGTATGTGTTTGTGGGGCATGCAGTTGGGAAACATGCACATGTGTTATCAAGGTTGCACGCACGTGCGTGCCAAGTTGTGCGTGGCCGGGGCATGAGGGCCTGTGGACATGTTACTCCCACGCCCAAGTGCAAGGGTGTGTGCGTGTCTGCATGCCTGTCGTCCTCTTCCCTCCACATGTGCCGTGGGTGTGTGTCAGAACCATCGCCAACAACCACTTCACGGGAGAATTTCCGCAGCCTCTTCTGCACACCCACCACCTTTCTTATCTGTGAGACACGCCCTTACGGTTGCAGTGGAAGTACCATGTAGAATCATTTGTTAATTTGCCAAATGCGCAACCCAAACCTTTCCTTCTGGTGCCACTACTGAAGGCGGCTGTCACAACTTCTCACATGGTGATGGCATTGGCAATGGCAATGGCAATGGAAATGGCAGGGATTTGAGCAACAATAGCTTCTCTGGATCCATTCCCCTGCAATTGACCGAGCTACTGGAGCTGGTAACCATGTGCGTGGTGCCCCAAGCATATAACCTTTCCCGTCGACCTAGTATTACTTTATAAACCGTACACCACTCGAGTCTTGATGACGGGGTTCACATCCAAGCCTGTTCCTTGTTCGTGCCCAGCCTGTAGCAGCGACTGGTTGTTCACAAATTAACATATTTCACTTTCCGTATTCACTCCAGAGGTGCAGTTCGTGAATGTCTCCAACGGGCTGAAGTGCTGCACTCTGTTTATCATCGCTTCTGAGTGACTCGGCCAGCAACTTCAATGACAACAACTTCCATGGATCAATCCCCTCTGGCCTCTTCCACCTCCCACTACTTAACTCACTGTGAGTAGCTCCATGGCGCCATTGCTTGGCCCTGCTAATACCAATTGCATTACAAAACAGCCTGATGCGAGGTTCGTAAATTAACTCAATATAATAGATGAGATTATGAACAGCTGTTTTATTCCAATACGTCCTCCTGCTGCAAATTACACAAATTTGATCCTGACACCAGTTAAATTGCCTGCAGAGGTCCAACTTGTGTGCCTGCTATTCGGTTCCTATGAGACCTCCTTGCATCTCATCATTCTTCACCTATAAATTCCTCTTTTCTCAGCTTTTATTTCGGCAGTGACTCATAATGCATGCCAGCAATCACCACTTCCCTCTGTCTATCCTCCTTCCCAATGCAGGGAAGTGGCAAACAACAGTCTTTCCGGGAACCTTCCAGTGAAGCTTAGAGCCTCCTCCACACTTGCCACGCTGTAAGCAGCGACACCACTCGCTGTGCTGCCACCACTCGCTGTGCTGCCCCCACTCGCTGTGCTGCCCCCACTCGCTGTGCTGCCACCACTCGCTGTGCTGCCACCACTCGCTGTGCTGCCACCACTCGCTGTGCTGCCACCACTCGCTGTGCTGCCACCACTCGCTGTGCTGCCCCCACTCGCTGTGCTGCCACCACTCGCTGTGCTGCCACCACTCGCTGTGCTGCCACCACTCGCTGTGCTGCCACCACTCGCTGTGCTGCCACCACTCGCTGTGCTGCCACCACTCGCTGTGCTGCCACCACTCGCTGTGCTGCCACCACTCGCTGTGCTGCCACCACTCGCTGTGCTGCCACCACTCGCTGTGCTGCCACCACTCGCTGTGCTGCCACCACTCGCTGTGCTGCCACCACTCGCTGTGCTGCCACCACTCGCTGTGCTGCCACCACTCGCTGTGCTGCCACCACTTTCTCTCCATGCTCATCGTCCCTGGAGTGGAGTTTGCCTACCTTTCGTTGCACCGTGTGCAGTAGCTTTGCAGGAAACGGCTTCACAGGCTCCTTGCCAGACTTCTCGCTGTGGAAGGGCAGCTTTGAAAAGCTGTAAGCTTCTTCCTCTCCCTCTCTCCCCCTCCAACCCCCCTCCTTGTCCTTCCTGTCTCCAACCCCTCTCAGTTTTTTTTTACAAATCTGCGTTCCTCCCCTTTGCCATCTTTGTACTCACTAGCTTGTGTCTTGCCTCTATCACGTGTCTTGGGTTTGTGGGTGCCATGGCCCATGAGTGCTGTTGTTCATGCAGGGAGCTGAGCAACAACAACTTCACAGGGCCCATTCCTGACTCCATCTCCACGCTCTCCACTCTGCAGGCCATGTGAGCCTCGTCTGCTGTTGCACCCTCACCACATGCCCTTCACCACATGCCCCTCACCACATGCCCCTTATCAAATTTCCACCTGCATCTGCGGAGTTTCGTCTCACCCAGAGTAGTTCAGGGAGAAAGCTGGCAGGGCCAGGCTAGCACCTAGCAGCAGCTGGTGGTGCCTCATGTGCTCTTTGCTTGCCATACCTCTGCAGCATCCTTGACAGCAACCAACTGACGGGGACCATTCCAGCTGCCATATTCAACATGACGAGTCTACAATCCCTGTGAGTCTTGGGTTCCAAGACGAATCTTTGCACCTCACACGTCCCCTACTGTGACCATGCTGCTTTTCTCCGCCAATCCTCGCTGCTCTCCCATATGATTCTCTTGCTCACAGCAGTCGCTTTCCTCCATGCTTGCTGCAGCTACCTGGCCAACAACCGTTTGAGCGGCAGTCTGCCGTCTGCCATCAGTCGCTTGGAGAAGCTCCAACAGATGTGAGGGCCCTCCCTGCCTGCCTTACTGCCTGCCCTCCCTGTTGCTCTCTCCCTCTCTTCCTCCACCCTCCCCCGTCCTCCACATGAGCACCCTTCCATGTCGTGTTGAGCGCGTCAGTTGTCTTCTGGGGCACCCAATGATCTTGATTCTCCTCCTCATCCCTACATGCGTGCAAAGCTGTCCGCCTGGCCTAACTCACCCATCCCCACCACGCCCCACTGCACTCTTCTGGTCTCATGCCCCTGCTTCTGCCCCTGCTTCTGCCCCCGCCTGCCCCCCCAGCTGGCTGGACAACAACAGCATCGAGGGCCCTCTGCCATCCGCCATCTGCTCGCTGCCCTGGCTGTGGCGCATGTGAGTGGCTGTGGCGCATGTGAGTGGCTGTGGCGCATGTGAGTGGCTGTGGCGCATGTGAGTGGCTGTGGCGCATGTGAGTGGCTGTGGCGCATGTGAGTGGCTGTGGCGCATGTGAGTGGCTGTGGCGCATGTGAGTGGCTGTGGCGCATGTGAGTGGCTGTGGCGCATGTGAGTGGCTGTGGCGCATGTGAGTGGCTGTGGCGCATGTGAGTGGCTGTGGCGCATGTGAGTGGCTGTGGCTCATGTGAGTAGCTGGCATGTTCAGGCATTGGTCTAGCCAGGAGGAACGTAGCATTTGGATTAGTGCAAGCTGTGAGCAGTGAAGGTTGTGGTGGAATGGTGGTTCAGTGCAAGCAATCCCCGGGTGCATGAGGCACCTAAAGTGTGCGTGAAGCCCACCAGAAGCAGGTGTTGCGAGCAGCATCTCGGCGGAGAAGCTCGAGAATGGCAAGGTTTGCTACTGCTGGCAAGGGTGAGAGCCTTGCAAGCAGTGCACTTGCTGCTCCCCTCGTGCGCATGGATGTGAGGTGACATGAACTGAGACGCAGGCAAGCACACGCTCATGTGTGTGTGAGCACTGACAAGTGTTAGTTGCTTGGCACCAACCGGCCCGACACCATGACATACCCAAGCGAGCAGCATGCCCACCCTTTTAGGTGTCTGTGTCACAGCTTATCTTGACTTCTCATCCTTGTCTTTATTTCGTTCTATGGGGCTCCGTATGGTGTGACTTGTGGTGGTTCATGCATGGCATGGCATGGCATGGGTTGTGTTGGCAGCATGGTGAGCAACAACCATCTCTACGGGAGTCTGCCAGACTGTCTCTTCGACAAATGCATCAACCAGATGTGAGCCCACCTCGTTGATTCATCCATCCCCACTACCAAAGAGTGCTGCGAGGCATGCTGCTCACTGCTGTCAGTGCAGTCAGGTGCGTAGAGTGGTGAGAGGCATGCGCTTGGTGTGCTGCTGACAGTCAGGTGGGGCTTCCACCTATCTCTAGCGAACCATTCGTACCCTCGCGTCCGTCATCTGTCCCTCCTGCAGCGATGTGAGCGGCAACAGCCTGTACGGGCGTGTGAGCCGCAACTTCAACAGCATGGTAGCAGACGGCGAGGCCCTCATCAACCTCGCACACAACTTCTTCTACGGAGACGCCGTGCTCTTTGCTGCGGGCTGCCAGGTGTGCCCCGAGGAGATCACCCAGCGCAACCAGCTGCAGCTGGGCGACAGCAGCTTGGGGGTGGCAGGGAAGTGCAGCGACGCTGGCTTCTCTGGCCTGCGAGACTACTCGGTGGCGGGGGCAGGCAAGGGCGCCAGGGGGAGTCTCGCAGGCAACTGTCTGACCCTCAATGGGGACGTCAAGTGCCCGTCCAACGCCACTCAGCGCAGCACGGCAGCCTGCCAGGCGTTCTGCAGCATCACTGACAACGGCCCGTGTGACGGCCATGGGGCGTGTGTGCCGCCTGCACCGGGCGCCCGCAGCAACTTCACGTGCGCGTGCGATGGCGGGTACTCTCCAGTGGACGTGGGCAACGGCTCCACGTGCGCCATCGTCAATGCCACCACCACCAACTGTGAGCCACCCCCTCACCCCTGCACAGCCCCCTCTGGAGCCCATGCTGTGCTCACTTCACATATCCCCCCTGCAGGCCTTCACAAAGCATGTCTTCAACTCCATCTCCTCCACTCCCCGCCTCTTCTCCCCCACCCCCACTGCTCCCCCCTTGGCAGTGTCGTCGCTGTCAACAGGTGCCATCGTGGGCATTGCTGTGGGGTGCTTTGCCGGGTTCACTCTGCTCACTGCTGTGCTCGCCTGGCTACTGTGGCCCCATGGACAGAGTAAGACCCCCCCCATGTCATCCCTCCCATTCTTGCACCTCTTTCCCGGTCGCCCTGCATCCCCGCGCTACAACCATGCCTGCACTACAGCCCACCCTCCCTGTCGCCCCCACCTCTGTATCCCTGATCTTCCCGCTCGCTCAAGCCCTTGCTGAATGCGCGTTGTTGCATGGCCTTGTCCATTCGTCCCACCTCACTGTGCTCTGTGGGTGCGCAGGGAAGTGGAAGGGGCTGGACGTGTGCGAGCAGTTCTCACTGCAGCAGCTCGTGAAGGCCACGGACAACTGGGCGAGTGACAACGTGCTGGGGAAGGGCGGGTTTGGCATCGTGTACAAGGGGTGCTCGCCGCAGGGGCAGCTGTGGGCAGTGAAGCGTTCCACTGTCATGACCAACGACTTTGAGGCCGAGGTCAGCCTCTGCCTTGCTGCCTGCACCATGGCTCTTCTCTCGCCATGCAGCCACAGCACCGTGGCACTGTGGGTCCAATGTGCTCTTTGAAATGCTCGGATGCTTCTGCTGTAGTGGAAGCAAGCACTGTCAGACCCAGCAACTCGCGTTCTGTCTTCCCTGACCACCGTGCTTTGCGGCGCATGCAGGTGCGCGCCATGGCATCGCTGCACCATGTGAATCTGGTGCGCCTGCTGGGCTTCTGCCAGGACCAGGACGTGGAGATGGGCAAGCAGGAGCAGATCCTCGTGTACGAGTTCGTGGGCAACCGAGACCTGCACCACCACATCTACAAGACCAACAGTCAGTTGCCCTCAAGCCAACTCACCAAGTTGCTAACCATGTGTGCTTAAGCAGAGAATGTCAAAAGTTGTTAAAATGCAAAAACACGCAATATGCCTGCCTCTCGTGGTCCCGCTTCCAGACCCTCTCTCGCTGCGCCAGAGGCTGCGCCTGGCGCAAGGAGCAGCGGAGGGCCTGGTGTACCTGCATGGGTTTGCGACGCCCATCATCCACCGCGACATCAAGCCCGCCAACATCCTCGTGATGGCCGATATGAGCGCCAAGGTCGCAGACTTTGGGCTGCTCAAGCTGCTCACTCATGGCGACACTGATGCCACCCGAGTGGCGGGCACGCCCGGCTATGTGGATCCAGACTACAACCGCTCTGGCGTCATCACGGCCAAGAGCGATGTCTTCAGGTGCGCGTGGATGGCGATTTGCCAAATCACAAGATGCTGGAACACTGATGCCTTTAACGTGTCTGAAATATAACTCTCGCAGGAATGTCTGTGTTGCTGGTCGTCGTTTTCTCCAGCCATTTCCATGTCTCCCTGTGCGCCTGCTTGCAGCTTCGGCATTGTGCTCCTGGAGTTGCTGAGTGGAACGCCACCCACCTTTCACCGTGTAACGCATATCAAGATCTGGGTATGCCCATGCTAGATTCAATCGTGGCACTGCCCCTTGCACCGCCTTTCCACTCTACCATGCTACCTTGCACCTTTAGGTCTGTACCATGCCGCCTTGCTCCTTTTCTTTTATTGCACTACCTCGAGCCATTTCCTATTTATTATGCACGGCCATTGGTGCAGGCGCAGAAGAGGGTGGATGCATACGAGTTTGACGAGCTCAAGGACAGCAAGCTGCAGGCCAGTGACGAGGCCGTGGTGGACTTTGCTGACCTGGCGCTGGACTGCATGAAGGCGCCCGGCACACGCCGCCCCGACATGAAGGACGTGGCATACCGCCTCCGTGCGCTCATTGACAAGCACTGCCCTGACAAGGAGGGAGAGTGGGAGTCTGGTAGAGAAGAGAGTGCAAGCACCGGCTGTTATAGTCACAATAGGCTTGAATGTGCCTAAAACGAAAGATAGAGAGCACAGACGGATTTCTGCACAGCGGCTTCAAACGTTGATAGCGTTATGCTCACAGCTGCAAATGACTTGATTCAAATTGGATCTGGAGCGTCTTGACGTCGCCTACAATAAGCAATTTAGATTGCACGATTTCATAAAGAATTGACGACACAGCGTCGGTTTGAACGAACGGTACTATGGCAGCCACTTTAGTCTTAGAACACAAGATAGGAAGAGTTACGAGTTGTGAATGACTCCCAGCTCCTACAAACCCCAAGAGCCGAGGTACAGTGATGTGGAACAGTGCCACACTATCCCCAACCACGAAGGGTCTCGAAACTACCCTTCACTAGGGCCTACACCAAGTGAAATGTTACACTACACAAAGTAATGTAACTGTCTTCAATATCTTGAGGTGTACCCTTTTGGCAAGCTTCGAAATCACTTGAGGCTTGACACCAAGGCTCGGGCTCTTCATCACAAACTCATCCTTGAGTTCTTGATGGTTCTGCTGCACACACCTGCGACACACCGAACGTTCGACACAGGACAAAATAGAAACCGCGCACGACAAAATAGAAACCGCGCGCGAGACACAAACGACCGCGTAACACGCGTCTAGCGATAACTCGCTATTGACTCGACACACACACTCGACATCATGACTCAACATTCACACACAATTATAAGCATGAAATATATATTATCCCATGCCCTCATACCATTCCATACACACACACATTCACGCACACGGACAACAAGCCGAGTGCAAACCGTAGGGTTGCACCAACACCGGCGAGGAGTCGTCTACCACGAATTGTTCTACTAGCGGGAGCTCATTCTTGAGCTTGGGTTCCGATAGTATCATGAGTTGGCTGGGGCTGAGGTTCTCTTAGGGCTACTGAGCCGTCACTTTTATGTGCATTGCACCCAGACAAGGGAATGTGGTACTAGTACCCCTCAGAGCACATGGCCACTTTTGATCATAAAGGTAGGCATGATGTGATTGAAAATTCAGGCTTTTTTTACTAGGAACCCTGAAAATTCAGGCTTCTTCTTTTAGGAACCCTGAATATTCGGGCTTTTTTTCACTGGAGCCCTGATGCATCAACGTCCCTAAAAGTGAATCTGAGGGCCTGAAAGGTACCATATTCCCCCGGATAGAAGCACCCCATTTCATTTGCCTTGAGGCTTACCTGTCAAATTATAAACGTGTGTTACTTCTAGGCTAGACTGCGATGCATGTTTAGAGTTTCAGATTTCTTTTCCTTCTCGACATGGTATCGAGCAGCTCGTCCCACGTTTCCGCGCCACTCGACCCAGCCTAAATCGCCCGCTTCCTAAGGACTAGCATGACGACCACCCCTCCTCCCCCCCTCCCCTCCTCCGCCCTGTCCCCCCCTAGGAGCTCGTTTCGTTGCACTTAGCTAAGGCCCCTGCGGGCCTCATTTCGTCGCGCTTAGAAACGGCCCCGCGGGCCCCGTTTAGTCGCATTTAGAAGGCCCCCGCGGGCCCCCAAATTCGTCACGCTCCAGAAGGGCCCCCGCGGGCCCGCTTAGGCGGGCTTAGAACAGCCCCTCCGCAGACCCCCCTCCCGTCGCGCTTAACTAAGGCCCATGCGAGCCATTTCGCTAAGTGTCAAATTGCATTTCTTATCTCTAGGCTGTAGTGGGGCATACTCTAAGGGGTACAACACTTTAGGTCAACCCTAGTACTTGTGATCCTTGCTTCCTAGTCAATCATTCTTACGTACTATTTCTGACATGGTATTCAGAGCGGGTCCATCCTCCGTAGGACCGCCCCGTTAGGGCCCACCGCTATTTTAGACCTGCCCGAGCTGCCCGAGCTGCCCGTACTGCCCTGCCCGAATAGCGTTCCTCACGCTGCCCTGCCTGCGCTGCCCCAGCACTCTGCCCTGCCCGTCGCGCTGCCCGCTTGCTGTCTAACGCGCGACCCGCACGCTGCCCTGCTTGCGCTCTGCCCTCCCTTGCGCTCTGCCTACACGCTGCCCTGCACTGCAGCCTGCGCGCCGCCCTTCCCTGCAGCCTGCGCGACGCCCTCCCCTACCCTGCAGCACGCGCGCCGCCCTGCCCTGCACCCCGCGCGCTGCCCTGCCCTGCTGCCTGCATACCCTGCAGCCCGCGCGCTGCCGTGCCTGCGCAGCCCTCCAGCCCGCGCGCCGCACTGCCCTGCGACCCGCGCGCTGCCCTGCCCTGTAGCCCGCGCGCTGAACCCTGCAGCCCGCTCGCTGCCCTGCCCGGCTGCCCGCACGTCCTGCAGCCCGTGCGCTACCCTGCTCGCGCAGCCCTGCAGCCCACGCGCTGCCCTGCCCTGCAGCCCGTGCGCTGCCCTGCCACTACAGCGACTACCGCTACTGCTACAGATGCAGCTACATCAGTCGCTTTTGACGTCCTTGCGCCGCTGCTACTGACTACCACTCCCTGTCATGGCCACTGTCACGGTCGTATCAGCGCCTGGTGGTGGACAACAGCAGCAGCGTCAGCCGGAGACTCTATCGCCGCAGCAGCTTCGCGAGTGGGTTATTCGGCGAGGCTGTCCCGGTGGTGGAGGTTATGGTGCTGGAGGTACAGCAGAGGCAGTCTCGTCGCCAGGAGACTCTCTCGCCACAGCAGCTTCGTGAGTGGGTTATTCAGCGAAACTGTCCTGATAGTGGAGGTTATGGTGCTGGAGGTACTGGACAGCAGCGGCAGCAGCGTCAGCAGGAGACCCTCTCGCGGCAGCAGCTTCGCGAGTGGGTTTCTCACCAACGCGTCCCTGGTAGTGTAGAGGCTATTAGTCTAGGTGCCTGTGAGCCCGGCAGCACAGGTGCAGCTTCTGTGGAGGCTTTGCACACCTTCACGCTTGACTCAGGCGCGACTATCTGCTTCTTCCGCGACTGCACCACAATCACTCTGCTCTCTGCACCTGTCCCGGTCTCTTTGGCTGACCCCTCTGGGGGCCCAGTCATAGCACATGCCTCCACAGTTCTCCCATGTCCGGCAACCCCCTCAGGCTCCCTCACAGGTTTCCACCTCCCCTCGTTCTCTAAGAACTTTGTAAATAACACTATCCTCCAGGACTAGTTTGTCACTGTACACACTGACTACTGAGTCTGCACAGGTGGCTGCGTCAGGTCAGGTGGCTGCGTCGGGTCAGTTAGCCGCGTCTTGTTCGTGTCGGCTACTCTCGCACCAGACTCTCTCCTGGCACCACCGTCTTGGTCACCCCTCTCTGCCGCGCGTGCGTGGCATGCACTCGCGTCTCCTTGTCTCTGGCCTCCCCAGGTCCCTGCCCCCGCTCCCGCGCTCGCTTGCACAACCGTGCCTTCCCTGCGTCGAGGGGCGGCAGCGCGCCACTCCTCACCCCTCCTCGTTTCCGCCGACCACTGTTCCTCTGCAGACTCTCCACATGGACGTGTGGTACCCAGCTTGTTTCGTGGACAGGACCAGGGGCGCTACTTTCTGCTGGTTGTTGACGACTATACGCGCTACACCACGGTCTTCCCCGTGCAGGGCAAGGCGGATGTCCGCGGTGTTTTGATCGACTGGATCATCGCTGTTCGTCGCCAGCTAAGCACGCGGTAACAGAAGGAACTCCAATTCCTGCAACTGCACTCTTACAGAGGCGGTGAGTTTTCCTCCGGCCTCGTTTAGGACTTTTTTTCGTGCGTAGGGCATCGTCCAGTCGTTCACGCTTCCAGCCTCTCCACAGCAGAATGGGGTTGCAGTGCGTCGCATTGGCTTGGTCATGGAGGTTGCTCGCACCTCCATGATCCATGTGGCTGCTCCCCAATCTCTGTGGCTGTTTGCGGTCAATACGCCGCACATCAGCTCAACCTCTGGCCCCGTGTCGCTGTGCCAGAGACCTCGCCTACACTGCCTTGGACGGGGGAGGTTGGCGATGCGTCGCAGTTTCGGGTCTGGGGCGCGCTCTCCCTTGTCCGCGATACCACCGCGAGCAAGCTCTCTTCTAGCACTCTCCGTTGCGTCTTCCTTGTCTTAGGTCGACCCACCCCCCTTGGTTGAGCCATTGAAGGTCTCATCTAACTCCTCTGGCCCAGCTGTGGGGGGTGACCCCGCTGCTGACGACACGGCGGCCACTCGCCGCTCCCCGCGCTTGGAGACCCCTCCTGGTTTTCCGCCTTGGCCATCTTCGCCGCCTTTGCAGCCTGTCGCTGTGGACTCTGGCGCTGCTGGAGGTGGTGACACTGGGGGTGCGGACTATGGAGGTGCTGGTCCTGAGGTTGTTGACTCTAGAGGTGCTGAGTCAGGGGGTGCTGGTTCTGGGGGTGCCGGTTCTGGGGGTGCTGACAGTAGGGGTGCTGCGAGTCCTAGTGGTGGTGGAGTCGTGGGTGCTCCTGCTAGAGGTTCTGACGTTGGACATCAGCAGCAGTCTCGTCGACAGGAGACCATGTCGCCGCAGCAGCTTTGCGACTGGGTTGTTCGACGGGGCCGGATTCCTGGAGCTTGGAGTATTGGTGCTGGAGGTGCTAGAGCTTCTGGTGCTGGAGGTACTGGAGCTACTGGTGCTGGAGGTGCTAGAGCTGGAGGTGCTGGAGGTACTGAAGCTGCTGGTTTTGGAGGCTCTGGAGCTGCTGGTGCTGGAGGTGCTACAACTGGTGGTGTTGGAGGTGCTAGAGCTGGAGGAGCTACTGGTGCTGGAGGTGCTGGAGCTGGAGGTACTGGAGGTACTGGAGCTGCTAGTGCTGGAGGTGCTAGAGCTGGAGGTGCTGGAGGTAATGTAGCTGCCGGTGCTGGAGGTGCTCAAGCTGGTGTTACAGAAGGTGCTGGTGCTGGAGGTGCTGGAGCTGCTGGCGTCATGGGTACTGTGCCGTGCCGATCGTTTTTGTACCAACAGCCACAGTCGTCCCTGCCACCGCCTGACTCGGCACTTCGTCAGGTTCTTAGTCTTCCGTCCTCCACTGGCCGTACTCCGCCTCTCCTGTGTCCCCCACCTAACCAGTCACAGCTACTGTTACTGCCTGGCTCCCCACTGCCTGCTCCGTC